AGCAAGGTGTGGTGGTGGACGCCTGTAATCTTAGCTGCTCAGGAGACTGAGGCAGGAGAATTTCTTGAATCCAGGAGGCAGAGCTTGCAGTGAACTGAGATCATACCACTGCACTCCAGCCTGGGCAGCAGAGTGAGACTCCGTCTCAGAAAAAAAAAAAAAAAAAAAAAAAAGGCAGGGAAAGAACTAATCAGGTGAAGATGTGTTATTAATAGACGAATACTCCCAAATATCTGCTTCTAAGGAAAAACCTTTTAAAAAACAGAGATAATTAATCCCTGGGAGGACAAAGCCTTACATATAATGATAGACACTTTAATGTTCTCAGTATCTTCTCTAAACATTATGATTCAAGAGAAGCTGTTTTTCTTATTTTAAACGCTGAACAAGAGAGGTGGTGTTGTTAGAATATTTGTGTCCCTTGTTCTATAATATAGATGTAGATGCTGGAGAAGATCTGGAGATTCTCTTTAGTAACTAAGGACTTTGGGTTTCAAATTCAACTAACATTTTCTTTCCCTTCAACTTGAACTTCAAAGGCACTGGAGCTTTGAAAATGCTTGCTGAATCCATTTGGAGAAATTGCTGTCATCTTGACATTCTGTGCTTTTTGTAAAATTGTCCAGTCAGTGGAGTCTTGGGTATATACATTACATAACATGCTGTTTGAACAGGTACATATAATGTACGTATTTCTGAATACATCGGCCATTCTCCTAAACTATAGAGGCAATCACGGTAAGTTATTTTTAATCTAGTTCCTTACATTTCTTCTTTCTCCCAAGGGGTTTATAATGAAAATCATTAAAGTATTACATCTAATATTTGATGGACAATGACTTCTAAATGTTTTAGAAAAATTTTCAGAAATATTTATTCTCCTCACTGTGTATTGATAGAACTACAATTTATCAGGAAAATGTTAACGTTTTATGGATTTCTGAGCCAATTTCTAGGCTTTTAAGTGTGAAGAGAGTGCAGTAGGTGGATGGGTTGCTAAAGGTTTCCTCCAGGTGTAGGGCATATGATGTAATGATTTATGTACATAAACAGATTGGCTTTTGTACAATCACTCATTTCCTTGAAATAATACTCTAACTTTGAAAGTCTCCAGGGATGAAAAAGAGGTAAAATTTCACGTTATACTAGTTAGGAGGAGGTGTGGGAAACAACTGAAAATAAAGGAGGGCAAATTGAAAGTAGAGCTGACAGGGTGTGTGACCTTCACTGAGCTCAGGACAGGTCAGTAAGGGAGGGAAGAGAAGGAGAGGGTTTGGATTCTGTTTTTCAAAGAAAAACTTCAGCTCTAAGACTGGAATCCAAAAGGCGAGTGCATTAAAATACAAGGTCTGCAAGTAAAGAGCGTACCCTCTGCTGTAATTGGGAATCTATGTTAAACTGCAGGCTTAAGGGTACATATTTTTTATTTTGATTCTATTCATGTGTTGTTCTCAGATACTGTTTTAACCAGGTGAGAACTTGTTTCTTTTACAATGGATGTGGTCTCATGGCTGAATTTCTGCATCTCTGAACTCAGACTTAGCCGTCTTTCTTAGACAATCAAGACAGGTATTGGAAAAGATAAGACATGAAAGTAATTTTGTCACTATAGGGTGATTTTTTTCTTGGCTATACTCGTATTAAGGCATGTTAAGGAAGGGCAGATGTGATGGAAAAACCTCACTGTGTTGGGAAGGCATGATTACACCTGGACTTTCTTATTATTCTCTGTCACAAATAAATTAGCTGTGTTTTCTTGGACGTTACCTCTTGAGACTTCAGTTTCTTCATCTTTACAGTACAGACAAGTTGATGCAATGTAAGATGCCTGAGGATTTTTAACGTGTAACAATTCTAGAGTCTTGTCCAGTTAGACCCTTGAACTCATTACATCTGACTCTGCATTTCTTAGCTTAGCAAAAGGAATGCCATTAATTTCTTTCTTTTTGTTTTTTGAGACGGAGTTTTGCTCTTGTTACCCAGGCTGGAGTGCAATGGTGCGATCTCTGCCTCCTGGGTTCAGGCAATTCTCCTGCCTCAGCCTCCTGAGTAGCTGGGATTACAGGCACGCGCCACCATGCCCAGCTAATTTTTCTTATATATTTAGTAGAGACGGGGTTTCACCATGTTGACCTGGATGGTCTCGATCTCTTGACCTTGTGATCCACCCGCCTGGCCTCCCAAAGTGCTGGGATTACAGGCTTGAGCCACCGCGCCCGGCCGAATGCCATTAATTTCTTATGGTCACAGGTGGTAGCTTTAGGTACTAGTTCACTTGTCCAAACTCTGGCACTGCTGAGTCCTAGAAGTAAACTGGACTGATGCTAGAGAAGCACTGGTTAAGTGCTGAAGAGCTAGAGGCAGACATCTTATGCTTGAATACAGGCTTCTCTCTCTTTTTTTTTAACTATAATTTTGGGTAAGTTGTTTTTCTTTTCATCACAGTTTACTTTTCTTTCAAATGTGGAGAATTGTGTACCAACTTCATTGTGAGAATTAAGTGAAAAAATGCATGTAAAGCATTTACTGTAGCACCAAGTACATGGCAAGCACTCAATAAAACGAACAATTATTATAGGAAGTACAGAGTATAAAAATAAACCTCTGCATGCTAGAAAGTAAGAATGGGGAAAAGCAGAGTTATAGTAAAAGTTTGCATTTCAAAATGAGTATAGGAAATTTAAAAACTAACAAAAGTTTCTCTGTTGGGAAGAAGTTGGTTTATGTCCTGACCTCTCAATTGCAGTCTGAGGGCCCTTTTATGGGCTATCAGGGTCTTTCTTCTAGGTTGACACTTTTCTCCATTTCTAATTTCTGTAAAAATATGGGTATTGGAGGATTGAAGTGGTAATAGGCACACTATTGGTATTGGGACTAGGACAGAAAAAGAAACTGATCCTGTGCTCGAGTCTCCCAATTAACAGTGTAACATTAAAGACGTCAATTTTGACATGAGACCGAGTTGTTCTGTTTGTGTCTGCAGGGAAATAGGAAGGAGATGAAAATTGCAAAAAAGAACTGTTCTTTAAATATATTCTAATTACTTCAAGATATGCAAGAAATGGAACTACTAAGTGAAATAGTGAAAATGAATGAGTAAAGTTTGGGGTTTTCTGTCTGGTTTTGATCAGGAAGTTTAACCTTTGACGTAGACCTTCAGGAAGTGGTAAAAATGTTAGTTGATCGTTGGTTCTCTCAAAGGCCATCTCCTCTAGGGAAAAGTTGGCAATTAGAAGTGCATTCAACCTTATTCTCAAGAGTTGCTGTCCCTGAAAGGATTCTCTGGAGCACTGGGCTATCCAGAAGGGAGCCCATGATCCTGGAGCTTGGAGCTCTTAGGCCAGCTTCTCAGTGAAGCATTTGTGGGATCACCAGGAAGATGGTACCTTTTCATGCACCTCATCAGTTGTCATACCTACATGTAACAGGGCAATTCATCTTACCTGTCACTGCCTTTGTGCTTTAAGATCACATAAAGATAAAAAAAATTGAAATCTAGGAAAAAGCGAGAATTAATAATAGCAAAACTTAGTATTAAGTACTGTCTTAAAGTTAATTGAATGAAATGTGCGTTCTTCATTAAGTAAATGAAAATGGACTATGTATTAAACAGATTATCATTGATTATTCAGACTTGACTTATTGACTATTGTATGATGGTATAAAACCAGAGGTCAAAAATCTTTGACTGGTAGATGAAAAATTATATTAGGAAGATTCTAAAAGATCCATGGGCAGTCATGGCAGCCTCATCCTCTGTCCTGATCTTCTCAGAGCAGTTAGGCTCTCTCCCTATGTCCATTTGGTGACTTGGTGAAAAAAATTTCATAAGCACATTACAGCAACTATATCCAGATATTTCCTGGATTCCCATCATGTACCAATGTATAATTCCCTATATTTGTTTTTCTACATATTCCGCTCAATTTAAACATTTATGATTTCAGCCTCAGGACTCTAAGAAAAAAATAGAAACTGTATTTGTTTTCTGACTATACAATTAATTATGCAAGCTGTAGAAAATACTAAAAAGCATAAATAAATAAAAATCATCCTTAGTTTCACATCCAGAACGAAATGTCCTAAATATATGATTTCCTTATCAACTTTTTTGTACATATATGTTCTAATATAGGTAAAACAAAACCTACATAAGGTTTTATAAGTGAAATTTTTGAACTTAAATTTTATTAAAATATACACATAAAACCTATAATCTTAAAATAATGAATCTATAATTATCACTAACTTTAAACCTATAGAATTCTTGCATAATTATAATTAAGATATACAGACTATTTTGTGGTTTTTTAGTTCATGTCATTTCATATATACATTTCAAAGTCTTATTAGTCTCCAAAACTGTTACCTCTGATGACTGCATTAATTCATCATATTGATGTCCAAGTGAGGTTTTGCAACAACTACCCTCTAGGCAATGAAATCTCTCTCCTCAGTGTTTTTTGAGGTCAGGCTAATTAAAAACTAAGAAGTCAGCTAAAGAAGTTTACAGGTATCTTAAAAATCATGTGTTCGGCCGGGCGCGGTGGCTCAAGCCTGTAATCCCAGCACTTTGGGAGGCCGAGGTGGGTGGATCACGAGGTCAGGAGATTGAGACCATCCTGGTCAACATGGTGAAACCCCGTCTCTACTAAAAAAATACAAAAAATTAGCTGGGCACGGTGGCGTGTGCCTGTAATCGCAGCTATTCAGGGGGCTGAGGCAGGAGAATTGTCTGAACCGAGGAGGCGGAGGTTGCGGTGAGCCGAGATCGGCCATTGCACTCCAGCCTGGGTGAAAAGAGCGAAACTACATCTCAAAAAAAAAAAATCATCTGTTTGGGGGAATAAAAGAGAAAAGAAGTTTAACATGTATCTATTCCTAGGGAGTTTTCGGAAAAGAATCATCTGTGAGATGGCAGAGTACTGAAAAGGCAAAGTTTCGGACTATTTGATTATATCATGCTTCTTTTTTTTCCTTTCTTTTTTCTAAAGGTAAAATATTCCTTCCTGGAGGTTTTATCACCCACACCACATAGATGGAGCATAAAAAGAATGTGACTGAATTCATTTTAATAGGTCTTACACAGAACCCCCAAATGCAGAAAGTCATGTTTGTAGTATTTTTGGTTCTGTACATGGTAACACTTTCAGGCAATCTGCTCATTGTGGTTACCATTACCACCAGCCAGGCTCTGAGCTCCCCCATGTACTTCTTCCTGAGCCACCTTTCTTTGATAGACACAGTTTATTCTTCTTCTTCAGCTCCTAAGTTGATTGTGGATTCCCTTCATGAGAAGAAAATCATCTCCTTTAGTGGGTGTATGGCTCAAGCCTATGCAGAACACATTTTTGGCGCTACTGAGATCATCCTGCTGACAGTGATGGCCTATGACCGCTATGTGGCCATCTGCAAACCTCTGCACTACACAGCCATTATGAGCCACAGCCTGTGCATTCTCCTCGTGGCAGTGGCCTGGATGGGAGGATTTCTCCATGCGACTATTCAGATTCTCTTTACAGTATGGCTGCCCTTCTGTGGCCCCAATGTCATAGACCACTTCATGTGTGACTTGTACCCTTTGTTAAAACTTGTCTGCATGGACACTCATACCCTTGGTCTCTTTGTTGCTTTCAACAGTGGGTTCATCTGCTTATTAAACTTCCTTCTCTTGGTGGTATCCTATGCGATCATCTTGAGATCTTTAAAGAACTATAGCTTGGAGGGGAGGCGTAAAGCCCTCTCCACCTGTGTCTCTCACGTCACAGTAGTTGTCTTATTCTTTGTGCCCTGTATATTTGTGTATCTGCGCCCGGTGACCACTCTGCCCATTGATAAAGCTGTTGCAGTATTTTATACTATGGTGGTCCCAATGTTAAATCCTTTGATCTACACACTCAGAAATGCTGAGGTAAAGAGTGCAATAAAGAAGCTTTGGAGAAAAAAATGATTTCAGGTAATGATTAATAAGACTGTTGAGCACTCAGCATAGAGGTAATAGGTATCTAAACTTCTTGATTTGTAGATGAATATATTGACTCTAACAAGGGTTTGGCTAATGTTGCAGACAGTCACTAAAGCATAAAGTGAAAGTTTGGACTCTAAGCTTACTGTTCTCTTATTCCATACTCTTGTCATCCCCTGGAATCAATATGTATTCATCAATTGCTTGGAAATTTGAAACATCTCTAGATGCTAAAAAGTATAAATGTAGAATATTAGATTGATGTTGAAACAATCTCATGATATAATGAGCTGTTGGTTACTGCTGATTATTGAAATTTACATGTTTAATAATATTTCTTTACTTTGGACTCTGGCTTAATATATACACACTTTCTTTTGTAAATTTTCTTGGTCACTATGTATTGGTCGTATTGTAAAAAGATGCACTGTTCATCGAATGCCTGCAAGGCTGCATTGTATTTTTTCCATACTGTATCAGTTAGGGATCAAACAGCTTCCCTGATTTGAGCAGTGAAAATTTATATAAAATTATTAATTATGTTGAGATATTAACTATAAGGAAGTAAAGAATGCCCTGTGACTGAGAGACGAGTAGCTAAGAAAGGAACACATTCAGGGCTGGGTGCTGTGGCTCATGCCTGTAATCCCAGCACTTTGGGAGAATGAGGTGAGTGGATCACAAGGTCGGGAGATCGAGAGCATCCTGGCCAACATGGTAAAACCTTGTCTCTACTAAAAATACAAAAATTAGCTGGGCATGGTGGCACGTGCCGGTAATCCCAGCTACTCGGGAGGCTGAGGCAGGAGAATCACTTGAACCAGGGAGTTGGAGTTTGCAGTGAGCTGAGATGGTGCCACTGCACTCCAGTCTGGCATCTGAAAAAAAGAAAAAGGAACACATTTGGGAGCTGGGATCCCTTCCTAAGGCTGAGATTCCTATAATTTGGAGAAAGCGTAGTTGTTGCCAATTGGATGTTGGAGAAGTTCACTGGGTAGTCTTGGGCCAGAACTAGTTCATGGTAGCTGGACAGAAGCTGACACAAAAGGAAGTTGTCTGGGACTGGCCAGCTGGGAGCCTCCCACTGGGATGCTGGTGGGCTGAGGCTGGTAAATGAGGAACTGTAGCCTGGACCTGCAAGCAGGAAACAACCCTCTGGGGTGTAGGTGGACCAAGAATACCCTATCACAGATAGGCAGTTTTGGAAACTGATTGCTGGGGTATCTACGTGATTCATTGGAATCTCCCTGCAGAGGTACCAGTGAAACTCGATGAGAAATTGTCCATGAAGTTGTCAGTGAAACTCAATGGAAGTGAGCACCTCTGAATGTCTCTCCCTCCTCCTGCCCTACCCAGCCAAACACACATGCTACTGGAAGCTACATAGAGCAAGATGAAAACAGAAACATTTAAATCAGGAAGACATGCCCCTTTTGATTCCCTATACTGACAAAACTTAACATCAAAGCAGACTATGTGCAGAGAATAAATTCTTACAGGGCTTATTCATTATGGAGCAGTCAATGAAGGTTGTTTTTGGAGCTGAGAGGGAATACATTGATAACTAGCACTCAAATTTTATCCTTAATTCTTATAATACATTTTACAGGATATTGAAGTGCATATATGTTGCACGATTTGACCAGACCTCGTTAGTGGCAGAATGAGGTATTAATTGAGATATGGCTCCTTATTCTATGTACTTTGTTGGCAGTAGGTAGCTGCAACTAGCTTTTTTTATTGTAAAGTCTAAAAATAAACACAATTTATTAAATGATTCTGTATAAACTAATGTTATAATTTCATTTAATTTTACTGTTATGCACTGGAATCTGATTAATCCTTTCACTAAAGATAGAGGATGAACAATCACTCAGAAGTGGTTTTATAGAAAAAAATTTTAACATTGTTATTTAAACATTTTTTTTTTTTTTGAGACAGAGTCTTACTCTGTCACCCAGGCTGGAGTGCAATGGCACAATTTCAGCTCACTGCAACCTCCGCCTCATGGGTTCAAGCGATTCTCCTGCCTCAGCCTCTTCAGTAGCTGGAACTGCAGGAGTGTACCACTATGCCTGGATAATTTTTATATTTTTAGTAGAGATGGGTTTTTGCCATGTTTGCCATGCTGGTCTCAAACTCCTGACCTCAAGTCATCTGTCTGCCTTGGCCTCCCAAAGTACTTGGATTACAGGTGTGAGCCACCGCACCTGGCGTATTTAAACTTTTAAGTAAATTTTCATGATTTGGCAATTGTACCCCTCTTCAAAGCATGAAAGATCTAGTTTCTGCTCCTTTATCAAAAGGCATATGATGGATCCTTAGGCATTAGACTTTGGCACCAGAATGTAGAAAGGTAAAGTTATGAGAAAATCTGAGATACGTAGCATCCAAGGACAAAACCAGAATGATATCCAAAGGATATCAATTAAATTGGAATTTTAATCTGGCTGAAAGGCAAAATCACACATAAGTCACCAAGACAGTTACCTGCCTTGAGCTACCCAAGAAAGTTTAGATGGTGGATGGAAGATGGATCCAGGAGAGATCCCTGGGACACAACTCTAGAGTGTCTTTTGACTCGTTCTAGATTAGTGAAGAAATTAATAAAGATGAACAGACAGTTTGAATAGAAAGGTTGTCAGTAGAGATGATCATTAGGTAAACAACCTTAGTAAAGATGACTTACATGCATAGTGCACTTCATCGTTTATGTGAGTTTAACTTTTTTCCAGGCATTTCTATTTCCTTCTGTTTGTTACTCATGGAATTAAAAAGATTAAAAGCCGTTATCAGAGATATCTCATTCTCCATTCCTCTTTATATCCCTGAATCTGTGTTCCTCAGACCACCATGCCTCGACTTCCAGCTCTACCATCCATATTCAGCTCATTCCTGAATGTTTCTGTACTTTGACTTAGCATGAATAATTCCATCAACTGTCATAGAGAAGCCAAACTACATTGAACATATTACGCTTTTCACGAGCAGTTTGGATTTAGAAAGATATTAATCACAAATAGTAGAATCTTTTCTTCTTGGTATAATCCATTGTATGTGTTTACAAATTTTTTTTGCCATAAGTTATTGGAGTACAGGTGGTATTTGGTTACATGAGTAAGTTGTTTAGTGGAGCTTTGGGAGACCCTGGTGCACCTATCACCAGAGCGGTGTACGCTGCACCAGACTTGTTGTCTTTTATCCCTCAACCCCCTCCCACTCTTCTCCCCAAGTCCCCAAAGTCTATTATATCATTCTTATGCCTTTCCGTCTTCATAGCTTAGCTCCCACATATCAGTGAGAACATACGATGTTTGGTGTTCCATTCCTGAGTTACTTCACTTAGAATAATAGGACAGATATTAGTATCTTTACGATAAAAAATCAACTACGTATTATAAAAGAATTACATCACACAATTTAATTTCCAATATTTCTTAGCTTTATTGAAGTAATACTGACAAATAAAAATTGCATATATTTAAGGTATGCAATATGATGTTCTGATATATGTATACACTGTAAAATGATTACCACAATCAAGCTAGTTGACGTAGCTCTCACCTCACATAGGTCCTTTTTTTTTTTTTGTGAGACTTAAGATCTATTCTCTTAGTAAATTTCAAGTATACATTACATCATTCATATTAACTGTAATCACCGGGCTGTACATTTGATCTTCAGAACTTTCATCATCTTGTTGAACTGAAACTTTGCACTTTTAGACCAACATCTCTCCATTGTGCCCATTCCTCCAACCCCTGCCAACCACTGTTCTGCCTCTATGCCTTGCCTCCAGGTCTTGTTTCTGAGGATAGGTCCTAGCATCACCTACGTGTGTAATATTTAATACTACGTTGAGACTTGAACGTCATTCAACATATTTGAAACCTCAGTAATCTTCTCTCTCTCTCCCTGACATCCAGTGATCTAAGCCAGGGCCCAAGTTTCATCCGTGACTTCTCTCTCTCTCATCTTCAACCTATATCAAGTTCTTTTGTTTAGAGTTCAAAAATATTCTTCGAGACCTTCTATATCTTTCCATGTTAGTTTCATTTCCCCAGATTCAGAGGATGATATGAGAATTTTAATAAAAGTAATCTATAAGGGGAAAAGATTGAAGGCAATCTTCTATAGCAGGGGAAGGAAGGATGTGCTGTCAACTAGTCTTCCTTTAGCCTGGAGCCCTGGGAGCTCTGAGGGATACATTATACTACAGAACTGCTTCCACCTTGAGACAAAGTAATTAACCTCTTGAACCCTATTCCAGTCAGTCATCCCTGGTGGGCCTGAGGAGGGGGAACAAAATACCCAAAGTGACGCAGCTCCCATTTTATCTGGTGCAATTGTCCAGAAAAGGGTAAGCCTGTGAGCTGTTAGCAGCCTAGGCCCACAGTAGCTGGGGCATGCATGCACTGGCCTGGTGAAGGGGATTTGAGCTGGACACAATAGTGTCCACCACACTCTGTGTCCTCACTGACAACACCAGGACTGAGGCCTCCAGCCTTTCACACTGAAATAATGACAGAAACCCCTAGGTGCTCTCCTGCTTGCAGTCTTGATTCTTCAATCCATTTTACATCCTGTAGTTAGGATTATCATTATAAAGTTAAAATCTAACTGCATCACTCTGTAGCTTAAAAATGCCTTCCTTGTTTCTCCAGTGGTCCCTAGCATTAAGTCTTAACACAACTATGAGACCTTCTTGATATTCTCTTTTCCTGTCTCTCTTGCTTCATGTCTTACACTTTATAAGACTTTCTAAGTTCAGTGTCTAGCATGGAGCCTGGCACACAGTTGGGGTTCAGTAAATAATTGCTGAATGAATGGGTGAATTAATAATTATGGCCTTATTGTACCGACTGGGTCTGCTGCATACTCTTTTCACTTTCTGGCCTGTGTTCTCTTTCCTAGAAGCACTCTCTCAGCTTCATGCCTATTCATTCTGCCGAGTCCTTTTCATCCCTCTCTTCCCATTTTTGGTATCTTTTCATCTAGGAATCCTTTTATAACCCCTCAGGTCTATGTGTCTTCTCTTTTGCTTGTTTCTCAATGAATCTTCAGCTCTGTGAAGGCAGGACCTGGGTTTCTCTTTATTCACCATGGATGCCCTAGCAATTTTCAGTGTACCTGATGCATTCCTTGGGCTCAAAATGTTGTTAATCAATGAATAAGAAATAGAAGGAATGAATGAAGAATATTTATTCTGAAATGGCTTTGGGTGTAGACAGAGCTACATAATCATAAAAAGAGTTTTTATCTTGTGAGGTGCTGTGGGAGTGGGGCCTGCCGATCCAGGCAGCTTGGCTTCCTGGATTCAGCCCCCTTCCTACGGGTACGCGGGGACCTCCCACCTTGCCTGAGTTGCAGAAATATTTGTTGCAGATCCTCAGGTCAGAGTTTGTAAAGCTCCTGGGTCTCTGTGTGTGCCTGAGCAGCTGCTCTGTGGAGACTCCACACAGCTCTGTGTTTAGGGTCCAAGGTCCTGGTGGTCTGGGCCTGCCAGGGGATCGCCTGATCTGCGGGTTGCAAAGATCCATGGGAGAAGCATGGTTTTCCGGAGTTGCATATTCACTCATCGCATTGTGGGGGTTCCCTTGGGTCCCTGTTGCTCCTAGGTGGGCCATACCCCTGTGCTGCTTTTCTTCATTCTCTGTGGGTGGAGTTGTTTCCCTGATCAGTCCCAAATGCGAGTACTCGGATCTTTCAGTTGAAGATGCTGTATTCACTTGTCCTTTTTTTCCCTCTCCATGAGTGCCATGGACCTCAGCTGCTTCTAATCGGTGATCTTGGACCCCTCCTCAAAACAGCTTTTAATAATAAAATGTTACCAAAAAGTAAGCTGATTGACAGAGAAAGAGAGCATAAATAGTGCATAATCATAAGATAAAATATTGCTGAAAGCAGAAAATTTCAATATTAACTACTTGTTCACATGCTAGGAATTTGCTTCTATTTCTTTTGTATTCTTCAGCATAAGAAGTAAAAACAAACTGTGGTTCCCCTAAGAAGTCTGGTTAGAATTCTCCTTAGTGCCTGAATCAGATAAGGAAAGAATTTCCATCTCCAGTACTATTTTTTTTAGCTCTACATTTTATTGAATTCATTTACCTTTTTTAATACTTCTATTCATTCATTCAATGTTTATTGTGTACCAGACATTGTGCTACCTTGTGGCAATAATCGTTATCTAGTAGGCAAGCAGTTTATAGAACATGATTGTATATTGAATAGAAATTTCTGCCTGAAATTCAAATGCTCTTTGAATTATTGGAGTCATCACTCTTTCTGATGGGTTTTTGCATAACATGGGTGACATGAGCGATACAAAGTGGTTCAGAAGCCTCCACTGACATTTGGAAACATGATGGAAACTTCATTACCTACCCATGAGAGTTGAAATGGCCCACTGCTATTACAGCCTTAAGGTGTTAGATACCCTAATGTTTCACAAATGACCATCAGTTACGATGTATAAAAAAGTAGAGTGGTTAATACAAATTCTTATATTTTTAGTTAGATAATAAATGAATATATGCAATGTGCCTAGCATAGTCTCTGGTTCCAGAATGGTAAGTAGTATAATGAACTGACCTTTTCATTATCACTGTGTGGCAAAATATCATAGCAGTTAAGAGTATGCTCTGGAACATCAGTCACAGTTTGATTACCGGCCCGTCAGTAAATCTATTTTGATATCTTCCTTTGCCTGTCAGTTTCCTCACTTGTAAAATGAAGAGAATAGTAGTGTTTATCTCTTTGAAGTGTTACAGACATTACTTTTAGATACCAATATGTTCTATTATTTCTTTTGTTTGTGAGAGGAAAGCCTATGAATCCATATACAGGATGAAGCTAGTAAAACTGAGCTCCAACTTGGTAGAATTTCCTAAATAGGCAGAGTTGTCTTGGGTCGTTTTCTCTCTTTCCTTGAACCATTTCTGTACCCCTCCACGCAGAATCTATGAATCATACGGGTAATGTTTTCTTTATCCAATCAATTTGCCCCACTGCAATGATCTAAAATGTCCTTTTGACCTTTCCTAAATGGAATCAATGTTGGGCCCTAGTTACATTTATTTGCCACCTGAAATGACCTTTCTACTACACAGTTTCCAAATGGCATTTTTCATCTGGGCATTCCTCAAGGTATAGATTAAGGGGTTTAACATAGGAGTTATCATAGTGTAGAATATAGCAACTGCTTTATCAATAGATAAAGTAGCTACAGGTCTCATGTACACAAATATGCAGGGCACAAAGAATAAGACAACAACTGTGACGTGGGAGACACAGGTGGAGAGGGCTTTGCGCCTTGCCTCCAAGCGGTGGGTCCTTAGGGAGCGCAAGATGACCACATAGGAGATCAGCAGGAGAACAAAGTTTAACAAGCAGATGAATCCACTGTTGGCAGCAACGAAGAGTCCCAGTGTGTGGGTGTCAGTGCAGGCAAGATTGAGCAAAGGGTTCAGATCACACATAAAATGATCTATGACATTAGGACCACAGAAAGGTAATTGGAAGACGAAGAGGATCTGTATGGTTGCATGAAGAAAGCCTCCCATCCACACCACTCCCATTAGCAGGGCACACACATGCCGGTTCATGATAGTCATATAGTGCAGGGGCTTGCAGATGGCCACATAGCGGTCATAGGCCATCACAGTAAGTAGAATGCCCTCCGCACCTCCAAAGAAATGTTCTCCAAAGACTTGAGTCATGCATCCATTGAATAGGATGGTCTTCTTTTCATAGAGTGAATCTATGATTAGCTTAGGGGTATTTACAGAGGAATAGCAGGCATCAATAAAGGAGAGATGGGCCAGGAAAAAGTACATGGGGGACCCCAATGATGGGCTGGCAGTGATGGTGACCACAATGAGCACATTTCCCACCACAGTGATGATGTAGATGACAAAAAACACAACAAATATTATTTCCTGCATCTTTGGATTCTCTGTAAGCCCCAGTAGAACAAACTCTGTCACGTTATTCCTATTCTCCATGTGTTTCATGTGATGATTAATTATATTACCTGAAAAACTTTTTTATTAATAAAACTTGGAATTTATTACACATCTCCATTTTAACAAATAATAAATGCTTGAATTTTATTGAACTGTAAATTCTTATAAGGTTTTTGTTGAAGCGTTAATAAAGTTTCAGTTTCTCAGTTCTTGAAGATTACGTGGTGAAGACTGTTAAGATCATAGCCATGAGGAACTCTTCTGAACAAAGTCTGGATGCTGTCTGTATACTCAATCATCTGGGATGCCTAATAGTCTGATTTGAAGTAGTAGATTGGATACACAGTGGCAGCTAAACCTGAAAAGGGAGATTGACGATGAATTTAAAAGCCATGGTTGTAAAGCTAAGGAATTTTCCCTTTATTCTTTAGGAAATGGGGAACATTGGTAGGTTACTGTGAATATGAGTGGGAAGATGAAGAAGAATTTGAAGAGTAGGAATCTTGGAATATCCCACTAATAAAAGTCTTTGTGTATCTTGGATGAAGTGGGCTGAGGTTAGCCAGAGAAGGGAATCCCAGTGGGCAGAGTATTTAGAGTGCTTGACGTGAGAAGTAACTGGGCGTTGGTGACAGAAATGTAAAATAAGGATATAAGAGCTACTAAAAGAATTAATAATACTTATTGTTGAAATCTCCATGAACTTTGGACATCTCTCACTGAGCCGATTTCTTTCTGCTCCCCAAGAAAACAAAAGAATTAACCATCCTCCGGCACATCAATGTCTCTCAGTTTTAGAATTGAAAAAAGCATTAAAATTCAGATCTAATTTCTGTCATCTCTAGGGAAAGATGAAGTTCAGAAAATAAAAGAAAAAGAAATCTAACTCTATAATGGCAAATATTATATGCCCTTTAATAATTAATTGCCTTGCACAAGACATAGTAGTGCTTTGCATACATGATTCCAGTGAACATTTATTTCATCCTAGGTGATTGGTATTATTTCATCAATTTTTCAGATAAGGCAGCAATATTAGAGACTGTTACTAGTTATGTTAACATGATATTTATATTGCACAAAATATAGTATTATTTATGTTAACATACTACTCACGGTTATAATATTGATAAATAATATTAACTAAAACATACTGAGCATTAGTGTCTTCTAAATATTTTTTGCAGGCAGTCACAAAATAAACCCAGAAAACAGTACTATCATTTTTATACTAATTTTATATGTTAGGAATTAGAAGCATAGGGAAGTTAAAGATCCCATCCAAGATCAAACAGTTTAATAAAGGGCATAGCCAAGATTAGTCACATTGTACGAGTTATTTTTTCTCCCCAAATTCTGAGCCCTGTGTTGTTATAATAAACAATGCTGAACTAATAATCTCCTTTCGACATGACCATTAGGATTATAATTACTTTAATACTCCTTCAGAGGCAATTTTATGGGGCAATTTCATTAGCAGCAACCCCTGCCCCTCCCACAACACAGTGACATCTTTGAACTCTCAAATATTAAGAAAAATATGGTATTGAATCACTGAAGATACATCTATCCTAGCTTCTCCCCTAGTCTCAGCTCTTTCATCAACACCACCCCTCACCAAATCATGGGCTCCCAGACTCTTTGGCAAACTGTTGATAATGACAGCTACAGTGGCCAATTATACTAGATTTAGAATTAGAAATATATTTGATTACAATCATTGTTTTTCCACTTGCAGCTTTTTAAAGGCAGAGCACGTTTCTTGGCACCTTTCGTGTTGTCATGTTGTTTCCTCGCCTATAAAGTGTGAATAACAATATTATCTTACAGGTTGTTATGAAAATTGAGGGAACATATAATAAAAGGTCTACCACAGTGCTGCAGACGCACATAGGACTTTCTTTACTTTTGTAAGTGTGTATACAGCTAGGAGATAGTAAGAATTGATCATTAGAACACTAAACAGAATCATTATCCATGCAATAATCTCAGGAAGAATAATCACCATCTTACTCTTGAAGAAGCCACAGTGACTCATATTGTCCGTAGCAGAAGGATTCTTCATGTTAGTGCTTGGACTAAACAGCTACAGGACTATGCCATTCAGTATTCATATTTATGTCCTTTGTGTGTATGATGTGTGTTTAAATTTTGTTTTCATCTTTATGACTAGTCTACTTATTAAAGGGGTATTTCATGGCAGAAGCATGGTACCCAGTGTCAGAGAGCTGGGTCCTACAAATTAATTAATTTTTAAGAGCCTCAAAATTTTCAGCTGTCAAATTAGGTGAATTATGTTTACTATCTTTTGAAAAATTTGGATAAGGATGAAAGACTCTATTTGCTATGTTTGAGATGTTGAAAAATGATTTGCCGGGTGTGGTGGCGCATGCCTGTAATCCCAGCACTTTGGGAGGCTGAGGCGGGTGGATCATGAAGTCAAGAGATCAGGACCATCCTATCCTGGTCAACTTGGTGAAACCCTGTCTCTACTAAAAATACAAAAAATTAGCTGGGCACGGTGGTGCGTGCCTCTAATCCCAGCTACTCAGGAGGCTGAGGCAGGAGAAGTGCCTGAACCCAGGAGGTGGAGGTTGCGGTGAGCTGAGATCGCGCCATTGCACTCCAGCCTGCTGGGTAACAAGAGTGAAACTCTGTCTCAAAAAAAAGAAAAGAAAAGAAAAATAATGATTACTGACTATGTAAAGTAACAGTCTTTAATAAACATCAGTACTATTGGAAAACTTACCTTAGTAGCCTTAGTAGTTAGATGATCTTAATGATGTTTGGGAGTGTTCAGAAACAATCCTCTTCAAACTGATCTTCTCTTTAGTAAGTTTCAGTGTGAAAGACTGGACAATCTTTGGAAATAGCCTATTCAGATAATTCAATGTTAAATCAACAGTTGTTAAGAAGCTGTATATATTAAATGTGTAGTTTTTTGGTATATCAGTTATAATTCAATAAACAAAGTGTTCTCATAAGTATAAATCTTTTTATCTGGCCTAAGTCTCAAAAATTTTCACAGAAAACCTGGAACTTGAATTAAAATGGATTCACTGGAAACACCATGAAGAACTGATTATATATTGCTCTGGTTCCACAGTGCAAGAGGCTGAAGGTGGGGGGTGGAAACAGCTATAAATGGATCACTTTGCCCATGATTAATCTTGCTGTGGATAAGTGAACAAGAAAAACATTTCTGTATTGCACTGCATGAATATTTAAAGAGGTTTCCATAAAGATTCAGGGAACTTTTTTTTTATAGCTGCTGCTTTCTCTCCTAGGAATTAATTATCTCCTTTGATGTGAAAGACTTTGGCACAGAAGCAGTATTCTGGAGAGAGATGTTTGAAAAAAAAATAATTCCTGAATGGGGAATTTCATTCTTTACACTTGGAACCTAATACTGAGTCCTCTTTCTCTATCTGAACCTGGGTTGTTAAGCATGCTGAATGCCATGTGAGTAACAAGGTAGTGTAACTTGAATGTGGACCCGTGATATAGTTTCTCTGTTGATACATGTCACAGGAAGCTTCTCTTTAAAAAAAAAATCAACATTACACCTTTTTTCTAGAAACCTGCTATTAATTGCTTGAGATCTAGAGCAGTGAGGGCATGCAACTAATTGTGGCCATTTAATTAATTTTAAATTTTAAATTAAAAAATATTTAATTGACAAAGATTGTATATGTCCAAGGTGGACAACATGTTGATTTGATAGCTGTGTACAAGAGTTATTATAGAAACTTAGCACATACATTACTAATCATGCTATACATGAGATCCTCAGAACCTGTTCATCTTATGGATGAAAGATCGTTCTCTTTGATAAGCACATCCCATATCCTTCATCCCCCAGGCCCTGGCAACCATCATCCTACCATCATTCTCTCTGTTTCTGTGAGTGTGACCATTTTAGATTCTGCATATATGTGGGATTATACAGCATTTGACTTTCTATATCTAGCTTATTTTACTTAGCATAGTGTCCTCTAGGTTTTTCTACATTGTCACAAATGACAGGATCTCCTTAAGGTCAAAAAAATTTCTTGTAGAATTTTTTAAAAATTATACTTTAAGTTCTGGGGTACATGTGCAGATCATGCAGGATTGTTATACAGGTATACACATGCCATGGTGGTTTGCTGCATTTAACCCCTTGTCATCGACATTAGGTATTTCTCCTAATGTTATCTCTCCCCAATCCCCCTACCTCCTGCTATCCTGCCCCTAGATCCCCTACCCCAAACAGGCCCCAGTGTGTGATTTTCCCCTTCTTGTGTCCATGTATTCTCATTGATCAATGCCCACTTATGAGTGAGAAAATGCGATGTTTGGTTTTCTGTTCTTGTGTCAGTTTGCTGAAATGATGGTTTCCAGCTTCATCTATGTCCATACAAAGGATAAGAACTCCTTTTTATGGCTGCATAGTATTCCATGGTATATATGTGCCACATTTTCTTTATCCAGTCTGTCTTTGATGAGCATTTGGGTTGGTAAACAGTGCCACAATGAACAGATGTGTTCATGTGTCTTTATAATAGAATGATTTATAATCCACTGGTTATATACCCAGTAATGGGATTGCTGGGTTGAATGGTATTTCTATTTCTAGATCCTTGAGGAATCACCACACTGTCTTCCGCAACGGTTGAACTAATTTACACTCCCACCAACAGTGTAAAAGTGTTCCTATTTCTCCACATTCTCTCCAGCATCTGTTGTCTCCTGATTTTTCAATGATTGCCATTCTAACTGGAGTGAGATGGTATCTCAATGTGGTTTTGATTTGCATTTCTCTAATGACCAGTGATGATGAGCTTTTTTTTAATATGTTTGTTAGCCACACAAATGTCTTCTTTTGAAAAATGCCTATTTATATCCTTGGCCCATTTTCAATGGGGTTGTTTTTTTCTTGTAAATTTGTTAAAGTTTTTTGTAGATTCTGGATATTAGCCCTTTGTCAGATGGATAGATTGCAAAAAATTTTTTCCATTCTGTTGGTTGCTGGTTCACTCTAATATAGTTTCTTTTGCTGTGCAGAAGCTCTTAAGTTTAATTTGATCCCATTTACCCATTTTGGCTTTTGTTGCCATTGCTTTGGTGTTTTAGTCATGAAGTCCTTGCCTAGGTTTTCTTCTAGGGTTTTTGTGGTGTTAGTTCTTATGTTTAAATCTTTAATCCATCTGGAGTTAATTTTTGTATAATATATGAGGAAAGGGTCCAGTTTCAGCTTTCTGCATATGGCTTGCCAGTTATACCAGTGCCATTTATTAAACAGGGAATCCTTTCTCCATTGCTTGTTTTTGTCAGGTTTGTCAAAGATCAGATAGTTGTAGATGTGTGACATTACTTCTGAGATTTCTGTTCCATTCCGTTGGTCTGTATCTCTGTTTTGGTACCAGTACCATGCTGTTTTGATTACCATAAGCTAGTAACATAGTTTGAAGTCAGGTAGCATGATGCTTCCAGCTTTGCTCTTTTTCTTAGTATTGTCTTGGCTATACGAGCTCTTTTTTGGTTCCAGATGAAGTTTAAGGTGTTTTTTTCCAGTTCTTTGAAGAAGATCAGTGGTAGCTTGATTAAGATAGCATTGAATCTATAAATTACCTTGAGCAGTATAGCCATTTTCACAATAATGATTCTTCCTAACCATGAGCATGGAATGTTTCTCCATCTGTTTGTGTCTTCTCTTATTTCCTTGAGCAGTGGTTTGTAGTTCTCCTTTAAGAGGTCCTTTACATCCTTTGTTAGTAGTATTCTTAGGTATTTTATTCTCTTTGTAGCAATTGTGAATGGGAGTTCACTTATGATTTGGCTAGTGCCAGTTTTCAAAGGGAATGCTTACAGGTCTTGCCCATTCAGTATGATATGGCTGTGGGTTTGTCATAAATAGCTTTTATTATTTTGAGATATGTTCCACTGATACCTAGTTTATTGAGAGTTTTTAGCATAAAGGGCTGTTGAATTTTGTCAAAGGCCTTCTCTGCATCTATTGAGATAATCATGTGGTTTTTGTCTTTGGTTCTGTTTATGTGATGCATTATGATTATAGATTTGCATATGTTAAATCTCCTGGGATGAAGCCTACTTGATCACCATCAAGTTGGATAAGCTTTTTGATGTGCTGTTGCATTTGGTTTGCCAGTATTTTATTGAAGATTTTTGCATCTATGTTCATTATGGAAATTGGCCTGAAGTTTTCTTTTTTAGTGGTGTCTCTGCTGGGTTTTAGTATCAGGATGATGTTGGTCTCATAAAATGAGTTAGGGAGGATTCCCTCTTTTGCGTTACTTGGAATAGTTTCAGAAGGAATGGTACCAACTCCTTTTTGTACTTCTGGTAGAATTTGGCTGTGAATCCATCTGGACCTGGATTTTTTTGGTTAGCAGGCTATTAATTGCTGCTTCAACGTCAGACCTTGTTATTAGTCTAGTCAGGGATTCAACTTCTTCCTGGTGTAGTCTTGGGAGAGTGCAAATGTCCAGGAATTTATTAGTTTTTTCTAGATTTACTGGTTTATGTGCATAGATTTGTTTGTCGTAATATCCGATGGTAGTTTGTATTTCTGTGGAATTGGTGGTGATATCCCCTTTATCATTTTTTATTGCACCTATTCAATTCTTCTCTCTTTTCTTTTTTTAGTAGTCTGGCTAGTGGTCTGTCTATTTTGTTGATCTTTTTGAAAAACCAGCTCCTGGATTTATTGATTTTTCAAAGGGTTATTTGTGTCTTTATCTCTTTCAGTTTTGCTCTAATCTTAGTTATTTCTTGTCTTCTGCTAGCTTTTGAATGTGTTTGATATTGCTCCTTTAGTTCTTTTAATTGTGATGTTGGCTGTTGATTTTAGATCTTTCCTTGCTTTTCATATGGGCATTTAGTGCTATAAATTTTCCTTTAGACACTGCTTTAAATGTGTCCCAGAGAGTCTGGTCTGTTGTGTCTTTGTTCTCATTGGTTTTGAAGAACATCTTTATTTCTTGCTTCATTTCATTATTTATGCAGAAGTCATTCAGGGGCAGGTTATTCAGTTTCCATGTAGTTGTGCAGTTTTGAGTGAGTTTCTTAATCCTGAGTCATAATTTGATTGCACTGTGGTCTGAGAGTCTGGTTGTTAATGATTTCTGTACTTTTGCATTTGCTGAGGAAGGATTCACTTCCAATTATGTGGTCAGTTTTAGAGTAAGTGTGACGTGGTGCTGAGAAGAATGTATATTCTGTGGATTTGGGGTGGAGAGTTCTGTAGATGTCTATTAGGTCTACTTGGTCCAGCATCTGCATTCAAGTCCTGGATATCCTTGTTAATTGTCTGTGTCATTGATCTAATATTGACGGTAGAGTGTTTTAAGTCTCCCAGTATTACTGTGGGAGTCTAAGTCTCTTTGTAGGTCATTAAGAACTTGCTTTATGTATCTAGGTGCTCCTGTATTGGGTGCATTTATATTTAGAATAGTTAGCTCTTCTTGTTGCATTGATCCCTTTATCATGATGTAATGCCCTTCTTTGTCTCTTTTGATCTTTGTTGATTTGCAGTCTGTTTTTTCAGAGACTAGGATTGCAACCCCTGCTTTGCCTTTCTCTCTATTTGCTTGGTAAATCTTCCTCCATCCCTTTATTTTGAGCCTATGTGTGTCTTTGCATGTGAGATGGTCCCTGGATACAGGACACTGATTGATCTTGATTCTTTATCCAGTTTGCCAGTCCGTTTCTTTTGATTGGGGCATTTAGCCCATTTACATTTAACGTTAATAATGTTATGTGTGAATATGATCCTGCCATTTGATACTAGCTGGTTGTTTTGTCCATGACTTTATGCAATTTCTTCATTGTGTTGATGGTGTTTAAAATTTGGTATGTTATTTGCAGTGGCTGGTACTGGTTATTCCTTTCCATGTTTAGTGCTTTCTTCAGGAGCTCTTGTAAGGCCAGCCTCGTGGTGACAAAATCTCTCAGCAATTGCTTGTCCATAGAGGATTTTATTTCTCCTTCACTTATGATGCTTAGTTTAGCTGCTTATACAATTCTGGCATGAAAATTCTTTTCTTTCAGGATGTTGAATATTGGACCCCACTCTCTTCTGGCTTGTAGGGTTTCTGCCAAGAGATTTGCTGTGAGTCTGATGGGCTTCCCTTTGTGGGTAACCCAACCTTTCTCTCTGGCTGCCCTTAGCATTTTTTCCTTCATTTCAA